ATTCGTTCACTCCTCTCTCTCTCTCTCTTTCTAAAATCTAAACCTAGATTCTCTACAATTACCAAATCTCACGCCTATTTAAAACTAGAGATTCACTCGCTTAATAAAAACCGCGCCTCTCTCTCTCTCTCTCTCTCTCTCTCTATTTAATCCCCAATCATACAGATTCCAATTAACTGCTCGATTCTCGCTTGTCCAAACCTCATACTTCTTGATTTTTGATATGGCTTCACAGCACCGCTGTGTCTTCGGTAAATTTGCGGGAAAAACCCAATCTTTTTCAATTTTGAATAATTCTGCAGTGGAAAACTTGTGATTTTTATGCGTTTTTGTTTTCTTTTTGCAGTTGGGAATATACCTTATGATGCTACTGAGGAGCAGCTGATCCAGATTTGTGAAGAAGTGGGGCCTGTGGTGTCATTTAGGTTAGATGAGGATCCAAAACCCTAGTTTTTGATGTAAATTTTGTTGGTTTTTAGAGTTTTTGGTTTGAAAAGCGGCAAGGACCCGTCTTTTTTTTTGTAATTTGCATTGTTTTTTATGCCGTTGGTGTTAACTGTTGATGTATAGCAATGAGTTAATTGAACTTCTGTGGCTTTATGAGTTGCCTTACAGTGTTTGTTTTCAGTTGTTAAGTATCATGATGGTGAGTCATTGGTATTTATCTAAATCTTTATTTGTTAAGGGTGCCTAGATACTGTGATAAGCTAGTTATGTTGCGTTAACACAGCAAAATGAACAAACTAGACGGTCTTTCGGGCAAAGATGATATCTTTTTGATAAAGTTAGCAGTTACATGTTAAGATACTTCTTTCTTTTCATGTATTATAAAGTTTATGGTTAAGGGTTAACTGGTGCTTGTGCTGTACATATAGAATCACTAATTGAATCAGTTATTTTGACAGTGCTAATAATAGTAAGTTACCTCGGTACGTGTAGCAGGGGTTTGGCTATTTAGCTATGACATTTGTGTGAGCATACATCTAGTCCAAGTTTGTATTTTTTCCAGGCATGCATCTTGTCTATATTTTCCCTCTTAATTGGTGTTTGGTTCTATTTGAGAGTTCACTGTTGTTAGTTCTTTGCTACTTTCCCCTTCTGTACTAGCTATCAATTGTCGAAATAGTTGTATGGTTTAATTATGTCATAGATTTTCAGATTTTTAAGCATTGAGGTAGGCAAGTTATTGGTGCATATGTGTAAGCTGCATAATCTGAAATTTTATGCTTATCTGCAATAAGCTAGTGAATGAGCTTGGTTCAAGCCTTCAAGGTGAAGTATGAACAGTCTTTGGAGTAAAGATCAAATAACTTGTCTCTATTTTCAATTAAAGTTCTACGACTTTTTTCCTTTTCATGTTAATGAAACATCAAAAGGTGAAGAATATGAAACTTTGGATGGATTATTTCATTGGCTTCGTTAGCGATTGGCTAGTGTTCATGTTATTCATATGGAGTAAATAATGACTGATTCCATTGCTAACATGAATCTATGACCTTGACTACATCTATATGAGATACCGCACCTGATTTGATAACTAGTAACCTTTGTGTGAGCTTATTTTTGTCCATTTTTGTACATTTTGCAGAAATATGTCTTTCCTACTTTATTTTCAAGTTCTTGTTGTTGTTCCACATTCCCCTCTAGTTCCTAAGTGTTTGGAGCCCTTTGTAGTGGAACTATCTACTCCTTTTTTGAAGTATCAATCGATCAGCTCAGATGGCTATTTATTAGTCTTCCGTAGCGACAATGTTTTCCAGGGGAATGCCATATTATATTTCTATGGTATTAGGCTTTATACTTGAGCATACACATTATAACAATTTTCATTTTTTATGCCAAGCGTAATTGAAACCTGTATTTACTTCTACTTCCAAAGTGTACCCGTAGTTATCATCAGTCTGCACCTTGGCTTGTTATCAGTTCTTACCTATGATTTGGTGTATGCAGAGCCCATTCTAAAGTACCTGATGTATGTATCAGTATGTACATGCTTGTATGCAGATCTAGCCATTATCTTTGTTTTAGACCTAAATTCAGGAGTATTTAGCACACATTGACATAATTAGTTGAGTGTACTTGTTTGAAATATACAGTTTTTAAGTATTAACCAAGAGTTCATTTTATTATCACTCTTTTTTTTCTTTCTATTTTTTTGGCATCATTTTTGACGTACACATGCATAAGTTCATCATGATTGTGCATAAATTTTCTTCGCCTCTGATTTTTGGGTGTAATATGACTGCAGGTTAGTGCTTGATAGAGAAACTGGTAAACCCAAAGGTTATGGATTTTGTGAGTACAGAGATGAAGAAACTGCTCTGAGTGCACGTCGCAATCTCCAGGGTTACGAGATAAATGGCCGTCAGCTAAGAGTTGACTTTGCTGAAAATGATAAGGGCACAGATCGAAACAGAGAACAGGTTAAAGTTAGTTTTCTCTTATGTAGAAAGAATTTTAATTGTTAATTTCGTAGCCACATTAATTTCTAAAAGCCTCTTATCACTATCTTTGTTGTGTTTCCATGGCAATTGAACCACAGCCACAATCACTTTCCCGTGTTAATTTAGTTTAAAACTATGGTATTTTTCGTAGGCTTTTTTTCCGACATCAGTCCCTTAGATCTTTCATATTTTGAAATTAGTCCCTGAAATCATTGAAGTTGCTGTTGATCCCCCAGTTCTTAGGTTGTTTTGAAATTTGTCCCTCAAATCATTGAAATTGCTGTTAGGTCTCTCAATTCTTCATTTGTTTTGAAATTGGTCTTTCTAATCAAGAGTAGAGGTATAAATTAAGAGGGATTAATTTGAAATAACTTATGAAAATTGGGGAATTTATAGCAACTTCGATAATTTGCAGAACTATAAGTACAAAATAACTCAAGAATCGCGGTCCGATCGTGGGTGGTTGGGCTGTTGGTTTTTTTTTTTTTTGGGGGAGGGGGGTGGGGCGGGGTGGGGGACCGGCGGGGCGGGGTTTTAAGATTTTTTTTGGTAGCGGCATATAGCAATTCAAGGATTTGACGACTAATTTCAAAATATGAAAGATTTCAGGGACTAATATCGAAAAAACAGGTAGACCTAGCACACTTTTTCTAACCATTGAGTTTGTTTCTGAATTGAAAATTGTTCCTTTTATTGCAGGGACGTGGTGGACCAGGGTCCTCTGTCCATCAACCAATAGGTCATCCATTAGCAGCTGCTGCTGCATCTTCCATGGCTAGAGCACTAAGTGGAACGCAGACTAGCAAATCTCCCTTAATGCAGAATGGTATGCAAAATCTCCTTGCTCCAGGAAATGATTCATTGACTCAGTATCTGGCTAAAATGTCGAGACAACATCTAACTGAAATAATGTCTGAAATGAAGGTTAGATCTTTACTGCTGTTCTCACAAATTTATTTGTCATTTTTTTCTTAAGAACACAGCATATGATATCAATTTTAAAATGCTGGCAGGCTTTGGCTCAACAAAATAATCCTCTGGTTCAGCGGGTTCTGCGAGAATGTCCACAGTTAGCGAAGGCTCTTTTTCAGGTTAGTGTTTATTCTTGAACATTCTAAATTTGTTCATTTTCCTTTATACTTTATCTTAACTACGTGTTTTATAGTAGCCTATAGACTTTGTCATCAATATGATTCACTGTGATGGCTCTTGATATTTCTTTGCATGAAATCTTTGAGACCTGAGTTATATTAAAAAAACAGAAATTTATTTCTTACTGTACAAATTCGAGTCGTTGCTAAAATCTCATTGCTGTGTAATTTGTCAATGCATGAACTACACATTTGGAACTTAAGTAAAGGGGCATCATATTAAGCATATTTTCGATATCAACACATCAGCATATCATTTCCTCATGCTATAGCTATGCTTTCTGCTTTTTTCATTATCTTGATATTTGAATTCCTTTTCATGGTGCAGGCGCAAATAATGCTTGGTATGGTGACACCAGAGATGGTATGTATCATTTACTTGAAATCTGAAATCATCTAGAAAATTGCAGTTAAGTAATTTTTAAGCTCCTGTTTTTTCGTAAAAATACAGATGCAGATGGCAAGCTCAGCTCATAGGCCTGCACTTAAAAGTGGCATGCCTAGTCAAAATGCATTAATTCCACTTCAATCGCTTCCTGTTCAACCTCCATTTCAGCAAACTTTGCCACCACAACCCCAAACGCTCCTACAAGGAACTGTACCAGGCAAGTCTGCAATTACAGTTCAGCCCCAAAGTTTTGGCGGACTCCCAAGTCAACCAGAGCTTCCCCCTTTACCGACTTCCAAGAATTTGATATCCCAAGTTCAACCTTCTGTTCTTCAGCAGACTTTGCCGCCTCATCTGGCATCACAAGTAACATTTCTTTTACTGCTTCTGTTTTTTTAACAACTAGTGGACAATTTTTCGCTGTCACTCTATGTGGGTGTTAATCCGTACAGAATTGACTACAGCCCAAAGCTTTACATATATCCTTTATTGTGTGTCTATGTCATCATCTCACTTAATTTACTTAAAATTGTATATCAGGGTGCTTCATCAAAATACCCGTTGTTGTCAAATGGGCTGAATTCCCTTCCAAATGAAACGGGAACATATGCTGCTGGCTTTCACGATTTAAATCGAGTTTCACATACAAGTGAGACTGGTGACAGATTAGAAGGGATGAACCATCCATCAAAGAGGCCTAGAATAGAAGATGGAAGTGGTTCCCGTCTTATGGTTACTCATACCTTTGCCACCAGCAGTTCTGTTCCGGTTCAACCAGTTGTTACTGGCTCAGTACCTGGGACCCAAATGACCAATGCTCAGGTATTGAGCTATTGCTGTAATATGTCAATTTCTTTAGGTATTTCACCACATGCTTCAGATTTTATCAAATGTCCGTTGGCATATTTTGTTGCAAATACTTCAACTGACAAGTTTGAATAATTAAAAGAAGTCCTAAAAGAGTGCCCACATAAGTTTTTTAGTGAACCTAGTGGGGGACAGTCACAATGTTGTGTTTCAATTATTACTCAACTTTGCAGCTTCCCCGAATAACAACAGTCTAGTTTTGGCGTCAATAACTTCTATGATCCTATAGATTCAGGAATGGTCCTTTTAGGATGTGAGTGAGAGGCGTGATGGGGTAGCTTGGAACATTGACAAGTGGCTTTCTTATATCACATGTAAACTGGAGGTTTGGAGATGTAGTTCAGGGATTGAATGGTTTCCAATAGTTCTATATAGCTTCTGATGATACATAAGTATTAGTATGTCATGCACATGCAATACGTGTTAAGGGGAAAAGCATGCCTTAAATAATTACAAGATAGAGTCAGTATATATTAGCATAATTGCATTTTATTATTGAGCTTTTTTAAAACTTATATACTTCATAACAGAGGAAGAGGAAGAGCCCTATGAGAAAAGGGGAGTCATAAAAAACATCTTTTTAGATCAAATTGAAAGAAGGTACTTAAGAAGGGTCCGAGCATATGACGATCAACCCGATAATGAAGAAGTATGGAGTGTCATAAGCATACAAAGAAGTAAGAACAATCAAGGGGACGATTACGTTAACTGGCCCCTGGAAATAAAGGTTAAAGTGAACGGACAGACAAAAGTCTTTCCTACTATCTGCAAAAATTAGGAAGCACCAGAACAGTGGGAAATAGAGCAGTACAAAGGAACAATGGAGGCCGTGGAGGAAATCTTGAAAGAATGAAGTTAAACGTTTTGAAATGTGAGGTATCTCTTGCAAGGAATGGCGAGAAGCAAAGATGGAATTTCACCCTAAAAAATATTCTTTTTTCCAATTTACCCCCTCATTCCTTAAGATTGAGTTAAAATGATTTTAAAATAGGACTAATCTACCCTAGTTAAGTTAATTAAAATAAATTTATATGCATAATTATAGGAAGAGAGATGTTGGAATGGTTTGTTTTGACGTAGGAACCTATCGTAGCCTGTGGGAGGGGAGATCTTGTCACTGTTGCCACTATTCTACAACAAAGATGTAGGGTTTGAGTAATGGGAAAGATAGGAGGATCGTGTTTTTTTTTGGTGGGGGGGGGGGGGTCTTCTATTTATGGAAAAAGAAATGGTCAATTTACCCCTCCAGTGGCCAAAATTGACGGCGTGAAATGGGAGGGTTGATTACTCTAATCCCGGGGAATGTAGGGGTAAATTGGCAAATTGTCTGATTTTTTAGGCAAATATGCAAATATGATAGATTTGGGGGTGTATAAGTAAAAAGCCCATCTATTACACTAGGAGGAATCATTATAGCAAGTAATCCTAATTATCTTTAATGTAGATAGAGAAATATTGCAATGAGGTGCAAAGAAGTAAATACATTTGGAAAGGGGTATGTAGAGGAAAGGTAAGCTAAGAGGAAATCCAATGAGATCCAAAAATTATATACATTTTGTGCTTCATGTTTGATAGGAGGGGAGGGGAGAGAAAATGCACCAATTTGTAGTTCATTTTCTCTGTTCTTGAATCCCTTCAATTTGGAGGGATTCTTCCCTCTCTCCTCATTTTTAGTTTATTTTTAAGTTGTCATCTACTCTACTTCACTTCCCTTTACTCTACCTTCCCTCCTAAAAACAGATAAGATAAGGGGAGATGCAGTGAGGTGCAAAGAAGTATATACATTTTGTGCTTCATGTTTGGTAGGAGGGGAGGGGAGAGAAAATGCACCAATTTGTAGTTCATTTTCTCACTCTTCTTGAATCTCTCCAATTTGGCAGGATTCTTCTCTCCTCATTTTTAGTTCATTTTAAATTGTCATCTACTCTACTTCACTTCCCTTTACTCTACCTTCCCCCCTAAAACACTCTACCAAAGGCACTTTGGATTTTTGTTCCTCCCTTTACCTTACTTACCCCTCTTCCAATCTAAGTTCATGATTTGTTCAATCTTTAGAGTGTAGTTTGAACCTAACTAAATCCTAATATTTGACAAATATGGGAAAGGGGTAGAGAGAGGATAGAGATCTTGTGACTCTTATTTGATCTATTTTTCGTAGTGTTTCATCATGTGCTCGTCACTTTTTCCGTTTGGTGAGATTTCTATGGTCATAGGGGTAACGGTTCTATTGCAATTTTAAGCTGCTTAAGTCGAGCTTGATATTGGAGTTTGAAAATTGAATTTTTCACCAGCATTGTTGTTCTTATTATGTAGGACCTGGAGGAATCTAATGAAAGTTTTTTTGTGGAACTTATCTTGCAAAGGGCTTGAACTCAAATAAATTATGTGAAAAAGTTATTTATTAAACTTCTCTTGCAAAGTGGCTAAATAACTTATTGTTATTATTAACTTTTGTTGATTCAAATTCTTTTTCAATTTGTTTGGATGAATTCTCTGAATGACTTATTATTAGTTTTGATTAAGAAAAAATATTTGCATGCAGTTGAAATTACCTTTACAAATTGAGTAAAAAATTACAGTTGAGTTAAGAGAGGAAAAAGAGAGAATACTTTTGTTGTGATCCTTGCTTGCTTATGGGGTAGAGCTTGATATGTTGGTTTTTTGGTTACAAGAGATGAAGGATTTTGTATGTTGCTTGGTAATGATGCTTTGTGCTGATTGTGTTGTGAGATAAGAGAGCTAGAAAAAATGAATGTGAGTAGAGTAGAGGATAAGTGTGAGTTAGAGGGTTGAGAATTATCATGGAGTATTATTAGGTTGTTGTGGGATCAAGAATATTTCAGAGAAAGTTGCTGGAGGGGTTAAGTGATGTGTTATAGTTTGTTGAGAGTAGAGAGATATTCGTAAGTTGTTTGAATCAGGTACCATGACATGAGAAGTGCATAATTTTTTGACTAGATTTTTTTAGCTATTATGTTTGGAATAGGAGTTACGTAGGATTGTTCTACAATTTTGAAATTTCTACGGATTCATGGACTTATTTTCTTTGTTAAGCTATGTGACATTTATTATTTATTCTACTTAATTTTTATTTTTTACACCCTCCTTGCCCCCATTCTTTCTCTATCTATTTCGAAATAGGAAGGACATAAACAACTGGCAGGCCCAAAGGTTCCATTAAATTCTTGTTGTCACAGTTGGTGCCTACATTAAATTTTGGTGGTTGTATGTTTAAATTATCATCGAATAGGGAAGAGTGTCACGTGCGCCACACGCAACGGGGAGTTAGATTAAGGATGTGACGTTGTGCGAAGAGGTGGGAATGCAAACGTGCGCAACAAGCACTAATTTTAGCACCAATGTTATTTCTTTCAAAAGCTTATACTTTGTCTATTTATGTGCTTAGTGCGTGATGGACAAGGGAATTAAGGAGTTGGAGATGCATATAGAGATGAGAACGGGACATGTGTACAATTCACGACTTATTTTATAATACAGAATTATGAAAGATAGATATTGATTATTTTATCTCTTGTGAAGAGAATTTATACCAAAAGCCATTTTCCTAGCATTTTAGCTATCTAAATATTTCTCATTTCTTCCTTCTCCCTAGATGAATAGTTACTTTATTGAATAAAAACAAAGCACAATTGCTATGGTGACTTTGTATGCGTGATTATTCAAACAAAAACAATGTTTCATAAACTACAAACAATATTCCCAAAGGCACTACAAGAGTTAGATTAGAATTTGGATACATTACTCATATGGAATACATATTTCAGAGTCCTCAATCAGCTCTAATTCAAAGTTAAACATAATTATTGCTTTTAACTAAAAATATTAAACATTAAACTCTCTTAACTAAAACGCTATTTAAGTTTAGTAGATTTGTCCTTTTGGGGAGCAAGTAGGAGCTGAAATCTTAACTTTATTGTTTATTTGCAAAAAAGATTGCAATGGCCATTGTTACTATATGGATAGCCATGTACACAACCAAAGTAATAAGGTTAAATTGCACAAAAATACCATAAAATTTTTCGTTTTGATAATTAAATACCACAAGTTGCTTTTTGGTACAATAAAATACCGTAAGTTACCAAAACCTGATCATTACTACCATCGATCATACAAACATGAAAATTTTTACCCGAATGTTTCTCTATGATACTTACATGCTAATGTTAATGTTAGAGCTTTTTAACTAATACTATTTGTTAAATTTGCTATTAAATCAAGCAAATTTCTTTTTCAAACTTATCTTAATTCTAATTTAAATTAGAGTTGAGATGTTTCTTTAAAAAAAATTAACAAATAATTAACAAATATTAAAGGTTAGAAAGCCTAAAATTAGTATGCAAGTATCATAGAGAAACATTCAGGTGAAAATTCTCACATTTGCATGATCAATAGTGGTTACGTGCAAATTTTGAAAACTTTTATGGTATTTTATTCTACCAAAATGCAACTTGTGGTATTTTATTGTCAAAATGGAAAGCTTTATGGTATGTTTGCGCAATTTAGCCAGTTAATTGCACCGACTTTTCATATGGAGTTGACAAGTAGAGAATAGAGGACAATGCAAGAAATAAATAAGGTTGACCAAGCATAGAGCGACCGACAAAATAATGTTTGTGAAAGCTAACGTGATTAGCTTGAGTAGAATTGTAGGCAAGAACTTCAATACTGAATGCGTAAAGCTCAAAAGGCTCTCTCGAGCTCTCTCGTGCCTTACTTGTTCATCAATAACTACTCTCTCACCTTTGTGGTATGCTAAAGAAACAAGATTAGTAACAACAAATTTTTTTTTAGTAAAAATATATTGAAGGTTGTTGATGATGTAATTTTCTAAATCCCGAATTAGAACTACACAACCAACTCCTTGCAATTATATGTATTTTTATCTTTTTTTTCTTTAATCTCAAGTTGTGTAAATCTAATGGAGATTGTCCACA